CCATCACTCGTGCAGACCCTTCAGTGTCAGCCCCTGATTCCACGCTAGCCTCATCCTGATTCCAACACTTAGCCCTGGTTACCAGTTCCTGGGCCCTGCCTGGCACTACTGTAACCTTCCTCATGCCCTCAGTACCAGCCCCTGACAACCTCTTCTCCCCTTCCTTATGGAAAAGCGTCTGTCAGCTTCCAGATCCCCTTCAGACACCCAATCCCAGACCCGCTACCCCTAATAACAGTCCCAGTATGCCCTCCCCAGCTCTCTCTGTTAGGTGCCTGTTAATGCTCCAGTATTGATCTCCATCTTTCATTAGATCTCCCCACGGTCCCCTCTTATCCCATCACCAGTTCCCAAGCCCCCTCTCCAACTCCCCCACCAGCTCTTTCTGGTACCCCCCTACTTCCAACTCCCATGTCCTCCTCTCAGCCCCCAACTTTCTCATACTCCTCTTCCTAGGCCCCCCAGTACGAAACCTTAGCTAGTCCTTCAAGTCGCCTCCCCAACACTGTCATGACCCCCTCCTAGCTACCCAGCCAGCCCCCAGGTCCCCAGCTCCGCCCCAGGCCCCGCCCTTGCGAGTTCCTTGACTCAGGGCTGCTTCTGCGTGCGTCCCCAGCTCCCGCCCCGCAGCCCGGTGGTCCGTCCCGGGCCGGCGGCCCCCTACCAGCATCCGCCGCCGGCCCCGCCCCCGGGCACCATGCTGCCCTCGCAGGAGGCCTCCAAGCTCTACCATGAGCACTACATGCGGAACTCGCGGGCCATCGGCGTGCTGTGGGCTATCTTCACCATCTGCTTCGCCATCATCAACGTGGTGGTCTTCATCCAGCCCTACTGGGTAGGAGACAGCGTGAGCACCCCCAAGCCTGGCTACTTCGGCCTCTTCCACTACTGCGTGGGCAGCGGGTTAGCGGGCCGCGAGCTCACCTGCCGGGGCTCTTTCACCGACTTCAGCACCATCCCGTCCAGCGCCTTCAAGGCGGCCGCCTTCTTCGTGTTGCTTTCCATGGTGCTGATTCTCGGCTGCATCACCTGCTTCGCCCTTTTCTTCTTCTGCAACACCGCCACCGTCTACAAGATCTGCGCCTGGATGCAACTCTTGGCAGGTAGGGGAGGAGTGGGCGCGGGACCCTCGGCAAAGACGCTACAGACAGGAACTCTTTCTTGGAAGAGTCAGAGCTATATTCTTCTGCTCTGTTTTGAGACTCTTAGAGGACATCTATTGAGGAGAATATTCAACAGCAGAGCTACCTTAGGCAGGGGGCAAATCCTTAGAAATGGTCTTTGGGTCTGTCTGCTTGGAAGCGCAGGGGCTGGGACAACTGATGGATTAGCGTGTTTCGGAAGGTCTCTGTTGGCTGTCTTTGAGAAAAAAGATCCCCCCGCCCCCCGCCATGAGAGCTTGCTGTAAGTGTAGTCAATTTCTGTTTTGCTGGGGGGAAAACATTAATTGGGGGCTCAAGATACTTGACTTGAATTTTGAACTCACTGGCATTATTGACTTTTTTTGAGGTTTTGTTTCCTCATCTGTGAAACAGTACAGAGGAATAATGAAGGGGTCTTTGGTAAACGTTAAAGACCTGTGCTGAGAGTGGAGGAGCTGTCTGTGGTGTTGGTACTGGGAGCTGTTATGTGGAAAGCTTGCAGCACGAACCCCCGAGAGAAGGTCTCCTTCTCCCTGACCCTTGTTCAGGCAGGGTTCTGTGTCACATTCAATGGTGATGAGTTCTTGAAGTCTCTAAAGTGTTTGATTGGGATGGTCGTCTTTCCCTAAGGAAAGGCCTTTTGGGAACAAGATATGCTGAGACAGTTTCCTCTGATCCATTAGAGTTCTGCGTCCCCGCCCACTCTTCGATCGCAGTCACATTTTGAAAACTCAGCAACCTGGGCATTTGCCTAATTGCAGAGAAGGAGGAGAGAGTTGGGCTGGGCGAAGAGGAGCCTGGGGATAGCAGGGTGGGAAGGAAGATGGGTGGAGGCCAGGAAAACGTCTGGAGCCTCCCAGGGACGGAAAAGAAGGTTTGATAATGGTGCATTAGAGACGGTTCTTCACAGTTAGCACTTGGGAACATTCAACAAGTGGTCAGCCCTTCAAAGAAGCCCCCAAAGGAAAGGTTATAGCAACTTGCTGGCAATGCCACTGCAGGAAGCATCATAGTGACTTGGCTCCACAGTGCGGTGTGTGTTCACTTGAGTCTTTAAGCTGAAAAGACATCTCTATCTTTTCAATGAGGACTGTGGGTTTTCAAAACAGCTGGAAGTCACTCAGGGTCAACTGCTAAGAATACAATAGTGGTCAAATTAGAAAATTTGACTTGTCACTTGGGTGGAAAGCCAGGGGTGAGGTCAAAATCCTGAGGCTAGTTTGCTTCCCTAGGAGGACTTTTTACAAAGGTAAGGAGGAATTCCTACCCCTACTCGGGGAGGTCTACAATCTGAAAAGGGCTGGTTGAAAGAAAGTGCTATATACTCAGATAAGGATATTCTTTTTTTTAAAGGTGTATTTTTGTTTTTAATTATGTGTATGAGTGTGTGGTGGTAGTGGTGGTGGTGGTTGATGGTGGTGGTGGTGGTTGATGGTGGTGGATGATGGTTGTGGTTGATGGTGGTGGTGGTGGTGGATGATGGTGGTGGTGGTGGTTGATGGTGGTGGTGGATGATGATGGTGGTGGTGATAGTGGTGATAGTGGTGGATGATGGTGATGGTAGTAGTGGTTGATGGTGGTGGTGGTGGATGATGATGGTGGTGATAGTGGTGATAGTGGTGGATGATG